ATGCGGCGCAGCACTTCCGCGAACCGCCCGGAGGATTCCGCTCGCTTGGTTGTCGGCACCGATGCAGATGGTGAGCGACCGGGCGTGCGAGGGAGCCGATCAGCAGGACTCCTTGGGCGTCCGGGAGTTCGCGGCCTCGTCGGCGTCCTTAACGGAGGGCTCGGCGGACTGGAGACGTCCTCCGTCTGGGTTGCCCGGTCGACGGTTAGGTTGGTCGTGACCGTGGATCCGATGGCCTCCGCTCCTGGTCCGGTAGCTGTATAGCGATCAGACGCCACGGACGGAATGACGTTCCCGGGTCCAGGCCTCGCTCGGGAGCGTCGGATGTTGCTGGCGCCTTCCGCGGCGAGGTTCGGCGGTCGAGTGCCCTGGGGGGAACAGGCGGTCCCCTCTTCCTTGTTCGCGGCGTGTTGGAAGCGGTGTCCGGACGGCGGCGAGGAAACGGCCCGGATGGGCAACGTAGAGGCAGCGGTGGCGAAGGCAGAGGCCCAGGAGAGATCTCCTAATCGGAAGGCCGGGACTCCCGCTTCCTTCCGATTTCGGAGCTGAGCTCACTCTGCCAACGGTTATGGCTATCCCAAAATGCTCTCGAAATAGTGGCCTGGAGAAGCTCGCACTACTTTGAGAGCAGGAAAACTTGCTGGAGACCACCCACGGAGCCCTAGATATAGCGGGCGTGGGTGAATCTTAATTACGAGAATTGTAGTGGCGCCGCGCACTACTCTCGTCTCGTGGCGGGCGCGCACGGGCCCGACGTGCGGGCCAGGCGCGCGTGCCGTAACGTAAGCGTACCGCCACAGATGGTACCCGATTGACCACGTTACGATTGGACACAAGCCAATCACAGCGCAATTACAATGCTTGAAACTAGAAAACCTCTAGGCACCGGTCACTGTGAGTAGTTGTGTCCATTCGTAGCATGGTCAATCGGGATACTTCCCATTCCGATACTTCAGATTTCAGAATCTTTAGATTCCCTACCCATATATCATTTTATCTTTATTGTTTATTGAATGTTAAACAAGGATAAAATGATACCTGGGTGCACCTGGGTAGGGAATTGAAACGCACCTCAGTATAATATAGTTAAGTATAGAATTGTATAGAAAAAAGAAGAAATTACATACGTTTATTTGGGATCCTTAAAATTGTATGCAATGACAAAACACCAAACTCTGATAGTTGACACGTCAATAATATCGATAAAATATGAGTAATGCCACTGTCGAGTGAAGTCTTTTTGGTGTGCCACCAGGTGATGGCTTGAGCCTTCAACCTCTCTACGAGGTGATATAACACCACGATAAAATTTAAAAGTGAGGTTATTAAGTTCACTTTTAAGATTTGAAGTTTATTCTTTCGTAAACACATAAATTCACAAGAGCGTAATTAACAGCACTATACGACGTACAATATACTTGCAGTTCGCGACTTGCGTTCAAAGCAGATATCACAGATCAATGTCATCAGGGCTGCCGTTAGCCGTACACATTTTCAGTTAAGCCGGTAATACATAAAATGTATAATAATGCATAACCATAAGACCGCTCGACCAATAAGCAGCCAGCATAATTTAATTTCGTCGCCATATTAATTTACATAAAATTTTTATTGGTCTAGCCGCTTTATGCTATGCTTATGCTTTGTTTTGCATTTTATGTGCTCCCGGCCTAACGGAAAATGTTTATGACGATTCTTCACGCTCAATGATTTTTACTTATTTTTGTAATTTTTAGCTCGTTTCAAAATACAATCAACTCCCAGATCTACTTTGTCTGTTAAACGCAACCTAGAGAGGCTATAATAAGAGAGTCGACAACTCACGTGATCCGAATTGTGCGCTGATTGGCTCAGGAGTCTTAGGACGCATAGCGCGATTCAGATTACGTGACAAATTGTCGACTCTCTTATTATAAGTTCTCTAACGCATGATGCAAATACATTTTATAACATGCTCTAACGTAGTTAATAAATCTATATAAAAATATCAATTAATTGGTTCTAAAAACAATGGATTAATGATTAATCGAAATAAAAAACATCGACAAAAATAATCGATTATTTCTAAAAAAAAACATCGAATATCGATTAACCAAAGCAACATCGCCCATCACTAGCTCGCACAATTGTAAATACGATCGATGCTTGTTGCGATACCGTTCCAACAACGCGAACGCATCGGGCGATAACAGCCGTGTTGTCATTTCGCTATCGTCGAATATATCTCCCTCGGTGGACGGTACGAATTCGCCGGAATCGATAAGCTTTTGACTCGCCGACGACATACCGGTCGTATAATATTTTTGCAATAAGGGAAATGAAACAAATGTTCGGCCATGACGTCTATGCGCGATCGTCCTTTGCACTTCGACGTCCAATTGTATAGAAATAAACCACATGCGTGACATAGAACAATGTCGGAGTATCCAGTGTAAAAAAATCCAATATACGCTAGCTCCATCGTGTTTACCGTAGATCTGCGATGTGGCCATTTCGATCCAAAAGTTTCGAGTCGAGCGCTCAACGTGGCCAATTGTGATACTCCATAGTATTACTCATTTCTCTTACGAAGACCGGCGACGATTGAAAACAGCGGCACGAACGAGGACGGTGCGCGTTCGTTCGCGGAGTGCCAATCGTATAACCCAACCAAAATCTATACACGGTTGAAAGGTAGTCCCGTAAAAAGAGCTAATTCTGACTCGCAACAGCTTGTATATTTCATTCCTGAGTGAGATCTCACAGCGATTGTAACGAACGTACCATTCGCGCTCTTTCGTCAGAAAATTATTGCCGCTCGATCGAACGTTGTACGACACTTGTCTAAATATCCTGGTGTTAAAAATCTTTCATTTGATAAAATATTCCCCCCCTATGTTTTTTGGAGTGTAAATGGTTGGTATTACAAAGGCTGGAATGTTTGATAAATTGTTAGCGATTTATCATACCGATAACTAACAAAGAATCACGATAATAAGAGATAATGTCTCTTTCGAACGTCGAGGCACCCAAAGTATAATATCGAACGAACTTGCGCATCACGCGCATAATCTGAAAATATCAATCACGACGATCGATGACACTCCTCGCAATAAACACACGATACAAACAGCGTGCTTTGTCTATCGTATCGTATGGTACAGAGTTACAAATACTCCGCGCGTCTCTGTTGTATATGCACAACGGTATCCTTTACAGCGGTGACACACGAGTGTTTCTGTAAAACATTCGCGGCAGTCAATTCGTCTTACAATTTCCCGACGTGTTTGATAACTCGAATTCGCGCCACGTGCGCATCGTGCTCGTAGCGTGTCGATCGAGTCATGTATCTAAACGTTAAAGTTTGATCGTATCACCTATCCCTTGTGCGACTTTCGTGTCTTCTCTCTCTCTCTCTCTCTCTCTCTCTCTCTCTCTCTCTCTGCGCTTAAGAGGATCCATCCTGGAGCGCATAATAAATGGCGATTTCATCATCATCATCTCTCTCTCTTCCGGTGAGTACATGTCTTGACGCGTGATCGTGTGCTCTGTACTTTTGGCTGTTTTTCTGCCGCTTTCTGTCCTTCGGGGCCTCTATTTTTCAAAGGAGCTTTTTGGGAGAGCTGTTTTCTCGCTCAGTGCATGGCCGTCTTGATTTGCGTGGGACCGGTTTAGATTTATCGGCGGATTTCTCCGTGCCTTGCCTCTTTCTGGCTGTCGCCGACATCTTGTCTATCTGGGTGCGCATGCGTGAGGATGTCGGAGGGAAGTGATGTCGCGTTCACGGACGTCGAGAGTAAAGATGATATTGCAGGGAACGGTGGAAGAACGAAGAGGCTATCCTCTATGCTGTCGAATATGGCAGGTATGTCGGGCGGGCGCGTGATTGGGAGCAATCTTGCCAATGTCAGAAAAATAAATTCTCTAAAGAGATCTGTTAATGAACAACATGATTATATATCGGCATATCTATTGATGTCAAAGGATACTGCGGGTAATAGATCAAAGATCGAAAAGGCTTTTCGCATCTGCAAGGAAGCGTTTTTGGAGATGGCAACAGCTTTAACGCAATTATTAAATGAGGGATCCTCGATGCAGGTTGTAAATGGCGTTAAATCAGTGATTCGCGAAGAGATGAATGCTTTCAAGGCCGAATTTGAGAAGACTAGCATAAGCATGGGTGGAGCTCTGGCGGACAGTGGTGGAACATATGCGACTGCGTTGGGGAGGCGGGCGCCGGAGGTGTGAGTCTCGCGAGGGCCCACGCTTAAGGTGGCTCCCATCACTGCCTTCTTGATCGCGCCGGACGAACAGCATGAAAGGGAATATGACTCGCCTAGGGCTATCGATGAGGTGGTTCGCAGGGTGCTCAAGCCATCTGATTTAGCCCTGAAGGTTAAAAGAATCTCAAGCGTGGGGAGAAATAGGGTTAAGATAGATGTCTTCAAACCTGGATATGATAAAGTCACATCCTGACCTTGTTAAGGCGGGACTGAAAGTAGTTGAGAATGCCAAACTTAATCCGCGGCTAATTGTTCATGGAATTCCGGCACATATGAACTCGAAGGAGATAAGAGACGGCATCACAGCACAAAATCTTGACAATGATACGAGTGCGAAACTTAAAGTTGTATATTTATTTAAGCCCAGAGAAAGGAAGAATTACACCAGCTGTGTGATTGAGGTTGCTCCGGACATTCGTAGAAAACTGCAAAGCAGCGGCAGAATATACTTGCGTTTCTCGGCATGCTTTTTTGAAGACCACATCAAAATATTACAGTGCTATAGATGTTCGGCTTTCGGCCACATAACCAAAAACTGCAGGGGGTCGCCAGTTTGTGGACATTGCTCTGGCCCACATGAGATAAGGGAGTGTGATAGGAGGAAGGAACCTCCGATGTGTGCCAATTGTAAGGATAACTCAAGGACTTCTACTGGCAGTGTAGGGCATCATGCCATGGACTCAAAAAGGTGTCCCATTCTTCTTAATAAAATTAAGAATAAATTGACAAGTATTAAATATGAATAATGCGAATACGGCTTATGATGACTTGCTAATCTGTCATGTAAACTGCCAGTCCATTTTGGCACATTTCGACGAGTTCGGTCACTTTTTTGCTAACTCTAACTACCACATAATATGTATGTCGGAAACTTGGCTCAAGCCTGTGGTTCCGGATAACATGGTAATGCTACCAGGCTACACTCTGCACAGATGTGATAGAACGGAGAGACAGGGAGGGGGAGTGGCCTTCTTCTTGCACAATACGCTGAGCGCCGCTATTTTGGAGCAGTCGGTTGCCATTGGAACTCTTCGCAGGCCAGAGTACATAATGGCAGAGATCAACATAAACCGTAGATCCAAACTCTTGTTGGCTGTGATCTACCGGCCTTCAAACTATGGCTTTCTTCAAGATTTTCAACAGCGCTTTATTGACCTTCAGACGGGGTATAGGCTCTCTATCATAATGGGTGACTTTAATGCTGACATAATGGTTGACTTACATGACAGCTTGCAATTGCGTGGATTCATTTCTTCAACTGGCATGTATTTGGTGCCATTTGAGACCACGCATCACCTGAAAAACTCCAGCACATTTTTGGACCTCTGCATCATCGACGATAATAACAAGCTAGTCAATTTTAACAAATTTCCTGTTCCGTTTCTATCGGCTCAAGATCTTATTCAAATCTCTTATGGCATCAACATCGAACGACGCGAACCTTTACTGTGCAGAGATTTCCGAGGCTTTGATGAACAAAAGTTTCTGGTGGATGTGGAGAGCTGGAGTTGGTCAGACGTTGCGTCGTCTCACTGCATCGATGAAAAGGTAGAGATCTTTAATCATGTACTAACCCATTATTACAATGAGCATGCACCTCTCAGGAGAATAAGTTTTAAGAACCTGCCGTCGCCCTGGTTGACTAATGAAATTAAAGAGCTAATGAGAGAGAGGGACAAACTCAGAAGAATCTGGAGGAGGAATAGGAACGATGCAAGCTACTACAATTTTAAGATCCTGAGAAACCGAGTCCAGCACATGATTCAAAACGCCAAGAAAATCTATTACACAACTGCCTTTAATCGGGAGGAAAAAACAGCTGCCATCTGGAGCAGACTGAGACATCTCGATCTAATAAAAGCAAAGAAAGTTGACAAGTCGCTTGCCTGTACTGCTGAAGAACTTAATACATTTTTTGGCGGTCAAGCAGTAACAGAGCCTGACGAGATGATTGTCCAGGATCCGACAGAGGTTAGTTATGATGACAACAACTTCCACTTCGAGTATGCTACTCCAAGCATGATTGCAAAATCATTCGCTTGAATCAAATCTTATGCTGTGGGAGCCGACGAAGTCTCTCTTAGGGTCGTTCGGCTGGTTCTGCCTTCATTGTTGCCAGTGATAGAGCACATATTTAACTTCTCTTTAATGAATGAAGTCAGTAGCTATTATAGGCGAGTTCTGGACCAGGAGCTCCGAGGGAGGGTGAGAGGCAGGGGGATCCACGGGGGGTCCGCGGGGAGGGGGGTCCGCGGGGGAAAGCCGCGGGGAGGGAGAAGCCGCTCAGAACGTTCACGGCCTGATGAGGGGTCCGCGGGAGGGGGGAGCCGCGGAAAGCCGCTCGCTCAGCTGGCCTGACCGCCAGGTCGTTGGTGCGGGTGTCGCGGGGGCGGGGGAACCGCGTCGTGGGTGCGGGATGCGCGGGGATGAGGGAACCACGTCGTGGGTGCGAGTGTCGCGGGGAGAGGGGAACCGCGCTCGCGCTCGCCGCCGCTCGCCGCCGCCACCGCCGCCGCTCGCGTTCGCCGCCGCCGCCGCCACCGTTGCGCACAGGCCCCACCCCACGCTTATCGCTCGTAGACCCATCCGCACGCGAAGAGGAAGAGGAAGAGAAGAAAATAGATATTATAATTAAAATTAAAAAATATTTATTTTAAAATTTATGTAATATAAATATATAAAATATGAATTCGGCGCAAATCCGCCTGCCCGTTGCCACCTGCAACAGACAAAAGGAAAGAGTATTTTAAAAAAGTGCAAAGAAGAAAAAAAGGATAGCTATTTAAAAAATACTTACATTAGTTGTAATAACAAACTGCTCTCTCTCACGAGCTCGCCTCCTTCCGCGAGCTCTCTTGCGAGCTCCTCGCGCCGCTGTCTCCCGACGTCTCGCGCGGGCTCTCCCGTGGGCTCTCCCCCGGGTTCGCATCCTCCCGCGGACTTTGCGAAGGCGTCCTCGCGTCCCAAGGCACCTCAAACTGTGGGTTTACCGTCACCCATGAAGGCATCCTCGCCCTCACTTCGTTGCCATCGTCGTAGTCATAGTCTTCGTCATCAGAGCTCAGAAGGTCGCGCTGAAAGAAAAAAACATTGTCTTTATCCAATAGTAAAAATATCGATTTATCTGAGAGTAATTGCTTTTGTACTTACCAGGAATTGTCGACGCTCCTCGGCCTCTACCTACCCTCTGCGGTAGGCCCGTCATCCATGCATCATCCCTCTCGTCGCTGTCTATCATGAAATACTTCCAAATCATATCAGTTGCACATATTGATTTTGCAGTATGATGTACAAAACAAAACGATAAATGTTCATCAAAATTGTTATGGTCTTTTAATAACGTTTTGTCACCAATTTCACGAGAACTTATTAGTTTCTCCAGCGGTGGCAAGCAAGGAGCAGGGTTCCGTCTGAATGGATGGAACATGATGGACTGACACTAAAACTCAAAATGCAATCAAAGATGTTCGTACCCGAGTAAGATAAAAATCAAATCCGCTAGCATTCAGACATATGTTATAATTACTTCTACATTTCAATGTGCAAGCATCTAGGTACATGTTATACTTACCACTACATCTCCATGTCGCGATAATGTTGTGAGGACAAAGCATCTAGAGACTTACCACAACATATTAACATTGTCATATCTCCATACAACGGTAAATGATAACACACAGGTATAACTAGACGCGGAGTCGCGAAAGGAGGTTCCAGCGCTGGCTCCGTTGCAATTTTCTTTCTCTCTCTCTCTCCCGCGGTATCTCCGTCCCATTGCATTGATTCTCGCGCGCGATGTAATTCGACGAAGAGATAAGGAACGAAAAAAATTTAACACATAATGTATATTTAACAGACAATGTATATATATTTAGCAGTTGATTAATACGTTTAACACATAATATATATTTAATTATAGAACGCATCATGCACAATATGATCTGACGCGTAAGCTATGAGTTCACATTCAATAAGCGACGTTTTATCATACACCTTACGCAAAATATTTATCGCATCGTCTTTATTCACAATACAATTGTGACATAAATAATCGACAAAATGCTTAAACTTATTACTAATGGCGTCCGTATTTTGATTTAAATTAAAGTATGCATGCTCAACAAAATGTTCGAGTTCGAATATAAAAAGCATAGTCGACGGTTTCATGTACATACAAGTATCATTCAGCGTTAATTTAACAATATTTTCATTACGTATTTTTACGAGATCTATAACTATATCTTGAATTCGTAGTGAGGATGGAACGCTTGACTGAAATTGTTTAATATCCATACGTCTCTCGATAAACATCCTCCACATTCCATAAGGCAAGATAATGTGATTGCCTCGGTTGTCACCAATAAGTATTTCCACATAAGATATAGATCCCACGCTGATTCCAATATCCAAGTATTTAAAATTAGTGGTTGTTAAAGCGAATCTTCTTCCCAATATACGAGGCATCTTCGAAATATGAGACACAATTCTGTAAAAGAATTAAAGCATTGAAAAACATAAATTAAGCGTGAAAAATAATTTATTAAAACTTACGGTCTCTCAATCGCCTCATCCTTCAGCGGAACGTAGAAATTCATTATAGTCGAAAGAGAACAAAACAATCTGGCACCTCTCTGTCAAA